TTCAAGCTTTTAAGACCCCAGATGCTATATCTTTTGATAGCCGGGCACCATCAACTTTCTTCACCACATTTGCTTATTCACCCGCTTTGTCTGGTAGGAAGAATTTTTAAGTACTGAAAAAAATCATTTGATGCAACTAAAAGACAATTAAATTGATCACAATCTCCAAAAATTATATTAATTTTTATTTCGCTGTTCCCTGCAGTCCTTTTATTTCTCCTTACACAACACTGTTGCTGGGACCTAAAGCTCGCACATGGTAGTAGAAAACCAAAATGTGTCGTGTCATCTCGAGTTGAGATTTGCGTATCAAAAAAACCTTACATAAATTGAAAGGGTGAGTAAATTTACAGGTTTAAATGCAAATCGTCTTCCAACTCAAGCCAAGTAACAGCCACTGGGCCAACATCAACTAGAGAAAGGACACTTGGTCCCAAGGCTCAGATTCTTCTGCCCAGCGGGCAGCACACAAAGCAAGGACTGGCTACTCCTGGTCTTCTAGCTAGCCTCTGGGCCAGCGGTTCTCAATTTGTGGGTCGTGACCCAGTTTGGGGGTCAATCGACCCTTTCACAGGCGTCACCTGATTCATAACATAGCAAAATTAGAGTTATGGAGTAGAAAGGAAAATAATTTTATGGTTGGGGGTGGTGGTCACTACAACATGAGGAACTGTATTAAAGGGTCACGGCATTAGGAAGGTTGAGAACCGCTGCTCTGGGCAATCCTGAAGCTGACAGCAATTCCTGTGAGCACCCTGCAGACTGACCAGGTCTCCACCCTGGTTGCCAATGCTAGGGCTGAAATCAAAGGATTTACAGGGGATTGAACACAGACCAGGGGGACAGTTAATGTCAGGATGGACACCAAGTCCAACACACAGTGCTGCCACCAGAGAGGGCTTCAAGGGTAATTCTTTCAAAGGCTTCTTCCAGTTTCACAAGGCTAGCATGAGTGGCCAACCTGCACTGTCATTAAGCTCATGAGGCAAGTGGCAGCACCTGCGGGCAATCCATCTAGAACAGTGGTTCTCAACCTTCCTAATGCCAAGACCCTTTAATACAGTTCCTCATGTTGTGGTGGCGCCCCCCCCACCCCAACCATAAAATTATTTTCATTGCTACTGCATAACTGTAGTTTTGCTACTGTTATGAATCGGGAGATCCCTGTGAGAGGGTGTTCGCCCCCAAAGGGGTCAGGACACACAGGTTGAGAACCGCTAGTCTAGAGGCACTTGC